ATTTTCATTTGCATACTATACCTTTAGGGGGGGGGGGGTCAACAAAAGTTTTATGCGGAGACGCTCCACACTGAGGTCCAACCCTTTCCCCTTTTATCAATACCCAATTTTTGACAGAAAGAGTAGCCCTTTTTTATACCTTCCAATGATCAATGGAAGCAGTCCACACACCTAGTTTAGACCTTTGCATCCTGTTAAACTGCTATAAATACGCTGTCTTTGAAATATGAAGAGACTGCAAACCAGACCACTTTTTTTCAACTTTTTCACAGACATAAAATACATCTGTAATCCCTTTCAGGCCTTCTTACAGAGACATAAAATGCATCTGTAATCCCTATCAGGCCTTCTTACACACCAAAAAGACTTTCCTTCCCTATCCTTTTATAGGCTTCCGGCAAAGAGTGAAATCCCTACTTTTTTTACCTGTAGCCTGAGAAAGTTAGCCCTTTGGGGAGGAGCCTTCCTGTAGAGACAAATGTAGTGAGTTTCTTCTAGGTACTATACAAAAATTGTTAGGATGCCCCTGCACTTCAGGTTATAAACAGTGTATCAATCAATTCTTCCACCGTGGAAAGGGAAGAACGAATTAAAGACTTGGGGGAGAAAATAAAAGCACAGAGAGGAAATAAAGCAGAAAAACAAAAGTCTCAGACGGTGAACGTTGCAATGCCCAAGAAATCAGCTGTAGTGAGGTACCGCAGGCTTTATACGGGTTGGCTCCACCAATCAAGCGTGGGTTCGCGATATTTAGCGGATTAAAACAAAGGACAGTGGAGGTGTTCGAGACTTCTATTACAATGATGATGAAAAGATCACCGTTGAATCCTTCAAGTTAAAGGCCAGAAAACTTTTCTTTCTGGAAGGTGTGTCCAAGGACCATCCTCATTGCAGTTGGGAGTATTCATGGGATGTATCAAAACAGAGATCTCAGAGGAATTTCAAAGTATGGAGATGAAGACTATGAAAAACTCATCAAGAAGCCAAAAAACCTCTGTACGCACCAGTTATTGAATGGGGCGAAGGAACTTTGTGTACTGTAAACAATTTAGGTGACCATCATCTATTGATAACTTAGGAATCTGTCACGGAATCATCTTTTTCGGAAGTCTTTCTCACCATGGTTTTGTTTTCAAGGGAACAGTGCTGGGATAATAGCTTGCTTTCACAACTGTTAACCAGGGAAACTCCCTTACAGGAGTATGGCCCCTGGAAAATGGGTTTCCCTTTGTGGGCATCAACAAAGGTGCTACGTGCTTTCTCTACAAGACCAACAATGATTCTGCTAAGCCATCATCTGATGAGCCACCAGATTTCAGATATGAAATCCCTCAGCCAGGTGAGAATTCAAAGCATCTAATCCTCCATAACAAATCGGAAATCTGGGGCTATGATGGCCACCAACCGGTTATTGGGGCAGTGGTGTCATGCCACATGACTCCCCCATGGTGCACCTTTTGTATGGTTTTGGAATGAAGTTAAGATAAAAGAAGGGCATTCACTTTTTTGCATACCAATTAATAAGCCTGGCAGCCACAGTGTAGAGATCTTCCGTGGTGATGAGAGAGAAAACTCCGATCCAATTGAGATTCGCCCCATAAGCTTGTCAAGAACCTCGCAATCACCATCGGCAGAAAAGGTTCCTGAGGAAAGTTTACATGGAGGTACCTGTGATGGTGGTCAAGCTGGCAAACAGCAAATGAGGCAGTAAGACAATGTAGCGGTGTCAGCTATACCAGTGGCCGATAAGGATAAAATTACATTTTGTGAAAAAATTTGGCACAGTTCCTTTGGTGTAGCCTTCAAAGGCTCTTGGGCAGGAACTGATGTAGCCATCTAGGGTTTGAAATTGTGAAATGCCAGGCGTCTCAAGTCTGTGATCGAATCAGAAGTTCGGGTCCATGGCACGATTTAACATCCAAACATGGTACAAATAATGGACGTGTCGATTTTGAAGAATTCCATCTACATTGTTTCAGAGTACATTAATGGTTGTAATTCAGACAAGGTACTTTTTGGTGAAGATGAAGAGTCCACAAAACTCACCATTCGAGGGAATGACAAGATGAATGTGGCCAAGCAGATTTCTCAGGCGGTTGCGTATTTGCACAATTTCAAGCCCTCCATCGTACAAAGGAACATTAACACCGCAAATGTTCTATTGCCAAAGGCTCCCTTATAACTAAGCTGTGCGATATGGGACTTAGGTAAAGACAGCAAAGTCTGTAAGCCGGAGCCCTGCCATCCCTGGAAGTCCTAGTTATATGGCCCTTGAATGGCTTTAACAGAAAAAACAAGCAACAACTCAATTCGATGTATAGTCACTGGCTTGTACTTTGTTGGAACTATTTACTGAATTTGACTGCTGGCACGATTCATTGAACAAACAGAAGCCTGCATCGGAAGGGAATTGTGGAGATTCTTTTTATTATATCCAATTTTTGATGGCTCCTCATGTGTTGCGATTGCCTTTCGAAACTTCTTTGCAACACATTCTTACAGACTGTTTTGAGTATGACAGTGCCCAGAGGCCTTGTGCCATTCACATCGTCAATGCTCTACTACATTAGCCATAACTAAGTAGCCTGTAACGGGTTTGTCATTCCATTCTTCAATAGGAGATCAACAACTAGTTGATATTGTAATGAGTGGACTTGCTTCTGGTTTGTAAACTTTAAAAAACTTTTAGATATATAGTATTGTAATCAGTCCAATTATACATTGTGTCCCCAAATCAGTATGGGTGTTTTTCCCATGTTATACAGCTCTGACACAATAAAGTTTTCTATCTATCTTCTATCTTTCTAACAACGTCGCAGAAGGACAACACTTGAAAGAACAAATGGACAATTTCGAACACTTTTAAACTGATCATGCAATTATTGTCTTTATGGAAAAATTTTTTACAATTATTTGATAACCTTTCGTTCTTGTTGTATATGGAGAAAACCTATCAAGTAAAATCGTATTGCAGAAAATTGGCTTTATGTGGAATTGGCTTTAAGACAACAAAGAACTTCAGGAGATTGACAAAAAAATTGTGCAGACAATAACGGGCTTTTTGCCATTGCCTTTCATCTCCTTCATGCACCAATGTTTGTCCTCCTACTTTATAGGTGCTCTTTTAAGTATTTCTTTCGGTAAATAATTGACAGACTCGATCGTATGTATAACAATGCTGTTATCATGATAGCACAATTAGTAAAAAGTTTGATAGAAGTCTGTTGTCGTAGCCTGTTCAAATATCTCGGTCACATTTCGGCCAATGGAGAACTGTACGAGAGAGGCAAGTAGAAGAAGGAAAGAAGAAGTCTTGGGTAAAGGCCTAGCTCCTTCATACAGTCGGATAACCCCGAGACAAGAGCCCGATACAGACTATCGTTGTGTCCAATTATTTACTATGTATACTATATGCTATGTGGTGAATGAGCTAGGTAGGGTCGCTGGTACCACTCGGGGAGACAAAGGCTCTCCTACAAATTTAAAAAGGAATTTACCCCTGTTTTATGATAATAAGTGACAGCAATCGCAAAATCACAGCTTTCACCCACTTGTGCAGCAGAAAACCAGCGGGTCTTGACAGTGGTGAAAGTACACAATATGCTTAGCTGTATTATTCGTCACATGTAATTAATATATTTTTCAAAAGTTGATTCTGGCAAAAATCATTGTGAATCATACGGATAGGTATAAGGTAACGTAAAACCACTATATATATATATGTGTCTACCTGGTTTTATGTAAATACCGCTGACTAGTTGCAGAGATTTTGCTTTACGAGTGGACATGTCTCTTGCAGATAAGGTAACGTTTTTATCACAAGGTTTTACTATTGATATTCTAAATAACTCGTCAAAATTGAAAAAAAAAGCACTTTGAGAGCAAATGAATAGTAAATAAGATGCGGGAAAATGCTCCCAGGAGTAAATATTCTTTGTTAATACGAATACTAAAATGTCTGTAAGTTTCAAAATGGCGGACATTGACTGTGATAATCCTTTTAACTTTGCTGGATTTCTTTTGACCACCATCTTGGCATGAAACAACATAAAAGCTCTTTGCTTTCAATACTGTACCTGATTTATAAATAGTTTTAACCTTTTCTGACTTTCTCTAAATAATTAGAACCATTTTTTCTATGCACAAATCTGATTGTTCCTTCAATAGCAGTTTCATAATCATAATTCTAAGCTTAATGTCCGTAGAACGTCTGGTTGTATAAAACGTGGGAGTACTCTAAACTTTGATTCAGATTTTTAGGTTGCCTTGGATACCGATTTGTCCATGCAATTTTCATTAGACATTGCTTTTTTATTATCTTCTTAATCCAGGATCCTTTTCTTAAATTAAACCACATTGCGATGTAGGTTTCCTCATACAACATAGTTAGGGTTCGTAGCAACGATGAACGGATCTTAATTATCGGCGCCCACTGACAAAAAATTATAAAGGAACCAATGCAAGAAATCAATACTACCGCAGTGAAAATAAAAACTAAGAGAATTGCAAAGTGATATGGACCACTATTCAAATAACCAGTGAGTAACGAACGACATGGGGGAAGAGGGAGCTTTAAAAAACTGAAATGTCTTAAACAGCAAGTAAACTGAAACTAAATTTTCATACTTCTTGCTTCTTTTACTACTCTTTTAATCTTTTCACTGCTTAAAGAAAAAAATGTGGAAAACAATCACAGTTATGTCTTGTTTTCTTAGAAAGATTTTAATGATGACAATCAATCAATCAATCATATAATTTAACACGTTACGTCAAACAGCTAAAAAAACTCGTTCAAAATACGAATGTGTATAAATAAAATCTTTAATAATTACAGCTATATAATATTATTCAATTTTAAAAACAACTCAATAAATATATACATATGAAAAACTTGGTAATAAAAACATAAAATATAAAAAGCTAAAACCGATTAAAAAGCGACATACTAAAAACGTGACTAGGAAAACTATAATACTCGTTCTTAAAACAGTTAAAAGCTACAATCGTGCACTATAAGACATCTTCTAAAAAGCTGCAGTCGAGCAATTTACTTCTGAAGTCATTAGCCTCACTTGAAAGACGCACTTGAGAAGGCAAACTGTTCCATAACTTAAAGAATAAGTGAAAGAATTCTTCTTAAATTTAAGATTAAAGTTAAGTAATTCCAAATTCAAGCCCTCGCCTCTTAGCCTAAACGGTGTAAGCCTGTATTTAAAAAGGCTTCCAATATAAGTAGGTCCCGTACCATTTAAGCATTTAAAAAGAAGTATTAACGCCTGGTGTAAGCGCCTACAATATAAGGATTTCATGCTAGCCGTAGTGAGCAGCTCGTCGTATGACATTGACTTGTTGTGCCCAATTAATGTTCTCAAAATATAACAGTTGCCATCTTCAAGAGGGTTGCGTTGACCTGTACCTATGCCTACAAACAAAGGACTGCAGTATTCGAGAAGAGGTCATATAAATGCTTTATAAAGTTTTATCATTGCATCATGAGGTAGAAAACGCCTTATTCTTCTCAGTGCAGACCATGACCATGCCGCATGGATAAAGAAAGAGAACACAGTTGTGCCATTCACTACGAGGCCATAAAAAGTGATAAGCTAGTCACCCCACAAAATTATGCCTCTTGGTTGACTTTGTTCGAAGCTGCTAAAATTCGAAGTTTCCAGCCTATACTTAACTTAGCAAAGACCGTCAATGAAGGTGAAATCCCCTCCATAGCATACCACAGAGATTGTAGAAGCAGGTTAACTTTCAAAAGGGATTTAGACAGTCTTGAGCAAAAAGAAGAAGGCAAGATTGAAGGGGAAGAGGATGACGAAACAGGTCTGTCAAGAGCTAAAAGCGAGTCATGCTAAATAGTTCTCGCATATACAAACAGGAATGTATCTTCTGTGAAAAAGACAAATATGTTAGATCCTAACTCTCGAGAAAAATTGGTAAAGGTTGCACAAATAAGAGTGGATGAAACCCAAAGGAACATTGCTACAGAGAAATGCGATCATAAGATTATGGCCTTAACCAGTAGAGAAATTGTTGCCGCAGAGGCGCACTACCACAGGTCCTGCTACCGTGTGTAGACAAGACCTAAACAGCTAGGACTCCGGTGTGACATAAGTGACGATACTCAAGATGCAGAATTCGACGTATTCAGTGACCTATTTGAGCACATAAGGGCAGAGGTGGAAAAACAGAGAGTTATCCCTATGACTGAAGTAGAGGAATTGAAAAGGTGTGAGAGACGGTGTAAAAGCACATTAAAAGAAAAATTGCTGCAGAATTCGGCACAACGCTGGAGATCTTTCCCAGCAGTAGAAGAAATTGATTGTCATGCCTGCTAACCTAAGCCTAAAAGAAACTTTACTTTAATTAATTATTTTACTGAAACTAGCAGAAGCTACATGAGAAACTGAGCATAGAAGTGCAATGCACTCAGCTACCAGTACAGAAGTGTAGTACACTCTGCAGGTATAGTTGAATTCCGACTTCACTAACACTAGAGCCCTGGTGGTTCAGTGGTTAGAACGTTCGATCTAGTATGCGGAAGGTCGCGAGTTTGATTCTAGACCGGGGCACGAAAATTTTTGTTGCTCCGGGAGAGCATGGTTTCTCCTTCTTCCAAGTGAAAATGTCCACTGGAAGTGTAAGTGTGCTGCTCACTAGTACATCATTAAAAATTGAAAACAAAAAACTTCCTGCTTAACTTGCAAATCTGGGCCTGGTATGAGAGCAGGTCTGGGGCGAGATATGGGTAGATTGATAAGGTGGAGCGCAGGAAGACATTCTAAGCTTCGAGCCAGGAGGAAAGGCCATTGATGCGGCGTGTCTTGCACTGGGAAGGTACAAAGGTAAGGGTAGTGGCATACTGGGGCTCAACAGTTAGGGTGAAGTTGTTCTGGAAGGAACCCATCATCCTGGGTTATGTATGACACAGCCTTTCGCTATATGGCTGCTTCGCATGTCGCCATGTCATGGGGTAAAGTGAATGAGCAGCTCTGTGATGATATTCTCAAGGAAGAGACCCTGCCCTACTGCATCCACTGCCGCACCTATGGTCATCGCACCCTAGGTTGTCCTACTCAATCAAAGCCTGTCCAGCCTTTTCGTCCCTTCTCATCATTCACAACCACTCCCTCACCCGACACCTTTGGCACAACCTCCAACATTCCCCTTTCATCCCGCACCAAGCACCTCCAGCAAGCAGCCATCTGTCGCGACTTCAACTGTCGCACCTGGGCCACCCCAATTGTCAGTTTAAGCATATCTGCAACAAACCAGACTGCGGAGGAAACCACCCTGGCTCTCAGTGCTCTAAAGTACCCCAATTGCAATTCCACCCCTCCAATTTTAAACCCCCCTTCTACACCTGTTAACATTACCAACCTCTCTACTGAACTCAAGCATCATCCCGACCAACAGTTTATGACAAGCCTTCTACAAGCAACCTTTAATGGAACTGTCACATTGGCTATACCGGCCCTCGCTTTGCTCGCATAACACCAAACTTAACATCAGCCCTCCTACGTCCTGACGCCGTTTCAGCTGCCCTGGCTAAGGAGGTATCCAATGGTCATACAGCTGGGCCTTTTCAAACACCACCTATTCCAAACCTCCGATGCTCCCCTCTCGGGGTAGTGTCTAAGAAAGACGGCACCTGGCACATCATCATGGACCTCTCCTCCCCCGATTGGTCCTCAACAAATGATTATATTTCCAAGGAGGAATTCTCATTACACTACGCTACCTTCGATCAAGCTCTATCTCTAGTTGCACATTACGGGAGGGATGCCCTCATGGCTAAACTAGACATAGAAAAAGCTTTCCGGCTTTGCCCAGTACGCTTGGAGGACCACGAACTACTCGGCATACACTGGCAGGGCCAATACTACATTGATCTCCGCCTCCCCTTTGGCATGCGATCTTCTCTGTAACTCTTCAATCGTTTGACGCCTTTGAGTGGCCATTTCTTTTCATTTCATCTTTTCAGTTGAAATGCAAATTGACAAGCAGAGTTACTGAAACAGTCAAATGAAGCGAGATGTTTTTAATACATTTACTGCACGCTATATCTTGAGTACTCAAAAACTGGTTATCAAATCAGCGTCAACCCTGAGTCCTCTAAGCTATGTCATTAAATAGAAAAAATTCTTTTTAAACGTTTGTCTCAGGATGTTGTGTATCATTAGCTCCACAAAGTATGTAAAGGGAACACAGCAACAAAACTAGCTTAAGCTTTTTCAATTGTATTTTTCTATTGTTTAATAACATTTCTGGATACCAGCCTTGTCACTGAATGCACAGCCGGGGGAAATAAATTCTACTTACTTTTCATTATACCTTATGATGAAGCTGTGTTGAATGTGCAAAGAAATGCTCATTGTATTGTTTTTTATTTGTTTTTGTGATAACACACAGTACATCAATTTGGTTTTGCCATGCTCTCAGATTCATTGTATCTTACTGAATAAATTATTGATAACTTTGCTTTGAAGTTGATAGACAATTTTAATTTGATACACAGGTGGAGGAGGCTGAAGTAGTTGATGAGAAACAATCACATCTACCACTTAGCCAGGCAGGAAGTGTTTGGATATTTCAAATTTCATGGAAAACAACAGCATGCTGTGAATGCCATTTAAAGAATAATAATAAGTATTCTCCTAATGCCAACTGGTGGTGGAACAACTGTGTGTGATGCAGTTCTTGGAATCATTCTGCTCAGATTCACCACTGTTGTTACACCTGTCATTGCCCTGGTTTATACGTATTCCTCTCTTCCCTTACTACTACTCCTTTATGTTCCGATGTAGGTCATATAAAAACACATGGTAAATTAAACAACCAAATAATAACATTCTGTTAGGAGGGTGAATCGAAGCTGTAGATGTGGTCCTTCTCTTTTCGAAACCATGTTAGCATAAAATTCCCCTTAAAAGTGTTCTTAAGGGGTAGTTTTTGACCCGCTTTGGAGAGTAGAGGAATACGAGATCATATGATAATTATAAATAGGCACAGAATTGCCAAATGCATGGATGTTAAAATAAGTATAGATGGTTCTGCAGAACCACTAACCCGCCAACCCCCTTCCCACAAATTTTAGCTAAAAATTATAACCAAGATACAAGCATTGAATGGAAGAATAAATGAAAACAGGCCCCTAGACAAACTGGAAGAATATGCAGTAGTATTCAAAATCCCACATTATTAGCCCGCTGATGTCAGGTCTCTTAACAGTGTCAAGCAATGAAAAACCCCAGCTGTTTTTAGTATGGACGTCAGCCATGCAAAACCCACACCCCTTTCACCTGTTTCCACTTCACCCAGAGTACTACAAAATATTGCTCCTATTCCTTAAATTAGTGTTGCTGGACATTAAATTGGTGTATGTTTTATGAGGTTTTGCTGTGATTATTGAACTGATACGTGGTCACTGAGCTATGGTCAGAAATAGAGAAAACCCGCACCCCTTCCCAACTTAAACTCCATCTTGCCCAATGTAATAAAACATTATTCTCCTATTTCTTGATTTTGGTCAATGGAAATTGGGTTGACGTTTGTTTATTGAACTATTACTGATTAAAGCATGTGCATAGCCTCCCCCCCACCTTCAGAAAAAATTGCTCTACACAGGCTGCCGAGATTATTGAAATGACAGGTCATTGAACTTCTGTTAAAAAAGGGTAAAGCCCATTCCCCTTCTTTTGCATTTGAGTGACCAAATAAATATGTTACATTGAGACTATAGACCAGTTTGAATGGTATTTAGTAGCCTTTAAAGCAAGAGGTCTTCCTCATCAACATTAACTGAGGTAATCCAAAATAATGGATTGAACAATGCTGGCACCTTCCTTCTCTTCAACCCATTCCCTGAATCGGAAATAAAGTTCATTCTGTCAAGAACATTACTTATCTCTCGAGAAAGTAGGGATCATCCTGAGAAGAATATGGAGAAATAGGTAAATGTAAGCTTCAACAAGTTACGCATTTCTATTTATTTTGTCAAAAGCACCAACTGAATATATCCATTTGTCCCTGGTTTTCTAGTTAGTAACCTCGCAGACTTAAATCTTGGTGTAAGGACATGCTTTTGTCTTCATAATCAGCTCCTGACCTTGCACAATCTAGGTAGAAAGAAAAAAATTTGAAACATAAGACATAAGTCATCAGCGCTGTACTTTACTAATCCGGATTCTAAATAAACGACAAGTTCAATACTAAAAACAGACTTACCCAATATCGTCAAGTTATCAAATAAATTGTTCAAGGTTTTCTATGATTCGAAACAATCCTCGACTCCTCCACAGCCATTTCTACCACAAGTTTTGTCCACTCACCTGCCTGCCTAGACTTTACAATGTGTACAACAATATGCTACTAAAATTGAGCGCTTCCAAGACTTAAAAAGACCAAAATTGTGCTGTGCCAAGAAATCAACAAAATTGCCAAGAAATCCACACAAGATCTAACAGGCGCTGCGCCTCCCTTCTTTATCCTTCCCATGGTCCCTTGTTGTTCTTCACCAGCCACTCGGGTTTTGCCCTTACCTCTATGCGAGAAGATGCAAAACTTGAAGCGCATGAGGAGGCTGGGAGACTTTGCTCAGTGTTTTTAAATTTCATCAGTGTCATTGTTCATTTTAGCATGGGTACACCATATTAAAATGTCTCAGTATTTTTGTTTTTTTCATTAGCTGGGGGAATAAGTGGAATGGGATGAGGAAAATGTTTCATGGTAAAAATTTTGGTGATGAGATCTTAGTGCCAGCCCTGTTTTTTATCCAAAGTGTTTGAAGCATACTTTGGACGTGTTCAGACAACCGAAGGCTAAGGCTTCCCATCTACCCCGGCACGCATCTTCTTCACACATCCCTCTTTAAAATTTAATTAGGAGACAAAAGAGACAACTGGGGATAAGTCAGCAGCTTTTGGTTGAGTTGCTCCGTAACAAACAAGTAAAGCTAACAGTAGAATTGCAAATGAGTACTTAATTGATTTGCATCACCTGATTGTGTAATGGGGAAACACCCAGTGACAATTGTTCCAACACTTCAATGGGATGAAGAAGTACATGCATAAATTGTCACCTCTATGATAAGAGTAAATCCACAACTGATGTCACTTCTCACCAAAGGAAGCGATAAAAAAAGGATTGGAATGTCACTTTTTAAATGCTGTGTTTGTAGCTTGCAGTAAACGCTTTGAAGATGATTTGAAATGCAAGATTTCCGAATTGGTTTCAAAAGGAATTCATGGCGAACATTGTTGGTTCAGAGGCAACACAGCAAAGGGGTGTGTTACATAGGCAAAGTGATGTGAAATTTGATCAGGACCTCGCAGAATTTAAGGCTTTATGGGATACACGACAGAGTGAGGCATGCAACACAAGCAAAGGCAGCAAGGGAGGTGCCTAGGATTAAAATAAGACTACTACTATAACAACATCCCAGAGTCTATGTGCCACAATCTGAAGATGCGTCAAAATTACAAGGCATCCAACATGCCCACCGTGGTGGAAATTATTCGCAAGAAGAAAAACGTTTAGACAGCTGTTTTTGAAGACGCACAATTGGTGTGGGGCCTAATAAGCTTGCTACTCTATACAAGCACTTTCCTGTTAACACACCCCTGTAGACATACCAGTAGTCATAAAGGCAACAGGACCAGCATTTGAAAAAGTTCCTTTGAATTTGGTGTGTTAGAGGGAAAATACTGATTGCGAGCAATTCTAGAACATTCATGTTATTGACAAGTCAGATGTTATTGTGATCAACGATGACCTAAGTCCAAGTTAAAGTCAACAGGAAGCTTCCCAGGGTGAAATTTCCATTATTTTCAATGGCTGGGATATCCATGGATAATACAAGTAATGAAAGCGAAACCCTCGGTTGTTTGCACTGTCCATTCCCTTTCCTAAAACTGGTTTATTGCCAGTTTACAAAGGAGCATATGAAATAGCTAGCAGACTGTCTTTCAGTAGCTATGTCGTAAAAGCACATGGACAACACAACAAGATCACAAATTAATTTTACTTCCAGATAAAACTCCCGTGATATTTAGAATAAAACCTTATAATTGCAGAATAAAGATCTTGTAATCAGAAGAAGATGATGGCTGGCCACGTTTTATGGCTCTCGTTCCATCTTACTTCTTTCAAAGTTTTGCATCGTTTTAGTCTACTTTTCCGTACACATCTTTACTTCAGGAGAGCCCTCTATCACTCTTCAAAACCAGAGTACAACAATATTTAATTTCGAACATGTGTTAAGGCAACCTTGACCAAATCGTCATAGTCTACTTTTCTGTAGACAACATCTCTACATCAGAAGAGCATTCGATCCCTCTTCAAAACCGGAGTACAACAGAAAATTTAATTTCGAAAATTTGTCAAAGCAACCTTGACCAAATCCCTTGTTCAACACAGTGTAGCGGCAGGGAATCTTGTCCTACTGTCCAATGAACTGTAATTAAACCCTGGCAATTTCAAAGATCAGTGACTGT